GCCAACCAGTCGGAGTAGAGCTCCACGGGAGCCTGGACTTGCTGGGCGTGGAGGAAATCCCTCACCATCCTGGTCATCCTCCTGCCTGCAGATCTGCGAGTGATATCCCCCCGAGCGGGAACGTGAGGATTAGGGTTTGTCCATCAGTGTGTGCTTGGACATCAACTGCCACCAAGGTGGAGGAGTCTGAGCACGCCCACCCCTTTCACAGCCACTCAGGGAAGGTCCAATTAACCCAATTAACACGATTTTGGTGACATTTGGGGGCCCTTGTGGTTCCTTTGCTCCCAAAGATGTGCATTCCCCATGCCTTACGTGGGGAAGCTGCTGCCGATGAGGATCCTGCCCAGGGGATACTCCTTCCCCCCCACGGACACGGGCGGACTGACCTCCAGGTTGCCGAAGGAGTCGAGGCTGGTGATGGCGTCAAAGAGGGGCTCCTTGTGCACGTACCCGAAATCAGAGCCCTGGGAAAAGAGGAATCACTGCCCTGAGTCCCTCCTGGGTAAAACCTCTGGGGTTTTATCCACCGGTGGGAGCCAGACCCGCTCCGGTGGGTAAGCACAGCGAGAGTGAGGCCTGTCCGTGGATGAGGAGAGGGGAAAGGAGAGGCAAGAGGATAAAGGTCTCTGGGTCACGGAGGCTCGGGAATAAATGGCAAAATCCAGGAGCAGAGCTGAGGTGTTGAGATCCCAGATCTCTGCTATCGCACAGCCAACATCTAAGTGTCCACATTAGGCTAATTAGCGCTGGGGCAGCCCCGGAGCGGAGCTTCTGGATGGCTCTTGCTGAGTGGGAGGAACTCCAGCCCCTGAGGGTGAGTCTAAGAGCCACCCAAAGGGCTACACGGCGCTTAAATCCTGCTTAAGCCCTGATTTCCAGGTCTTAATATATCTGGGACTGAGGGTGTCGTGCGTGCAGGGTAATTAACTCTTGGCTGGGATGTGCCAAAGCCCAAGGGGGAGATTGTGGAGTTAAAACAGGGCAAAAATGGCAACACTGGGACACAGTTCCTGCCGTGGACCTGTCCTTGATCTCCGGTTTGGGTCAACACAGGCTTGGAGCTCCCGGCAGCCCCTGGGACCAGATCAGGTATCTGTTAGGTTGAAGTTAAATCCCAATCACTTATCAGGGTTGGGTTTCCATGGGGATAAACCAAATACACAGGTCAGGGAAAGTGAGCAGGGAGACCTGAGAGCGCTTGACTTCCATCTAGAAATTCCTTCTTCCAACTGAGGGTATTTGGAGAGGCCGGGATAGAGAGAGGGCACAGCTTTCCCCGAGGCTCCCCGTGGGGTTTTGGGGAGTCTCTGGGGGATGGCTGGAATCAGCTCCTTTCTCCGGGCACATGAAACACCTGCTGCCAGCTTGTTGCAGTTTAATAACCCACGGAGCCCCTCCGGTTTCAACTGTCAAGGCGCTGGTTCATCCCTGGTTTGCGGGTCGCATCCAAGTCCTATCAGTTCCACACTGATTTTGAGGGGCTAATTCCCTCCCGGCTCCGTTTTCCCTGGCTCGGGGTCCCGGGGCTTAGGGCTTGGCCGGGGTGTGAGGAGGACCCCGTGCGTGCCGACTTTGGCTCAATATTCCCAGCTGGAAAATGAGATTGGAACGATAGCGGTGGGGATTAGGGGAGGCTTCAAAGCAGAAATCGGAGAATAATGTGTTAGCGGCTCCCAAGGCTGAAATTGCTTCCCTAAGTAGGCAGCAAAGCAGCTCCTAAAGAGGGCAGATCCGAGCAGGCGCCGCTTATTCGCTCTTCCCACCCGCCCGATGAATCCGGGACTCTACGTACTCATGTCAGGCATGAGAAAAGATGGATTTCAATGCTCCTGAAAGCTCTTCACCTTCCCCAAAGTGACAAAAAAAGTGACTCGTCCTCTTCTCCCGTTACTGGCGGAGAGAGGATCCGAGCTGAGGCTGCTGCCAGCGCCCGCTGGGAGTGAGGGACAGCGATTCCGTGGCTATTTGGGGGTGTCCTGCCCTTTCTGCATGGTGGGATCTCAAAGGGATCATCGTTTTTTCCATGCTTGTCTTTGCTGGGCTCTGCCAAGACTCCTTCTCCGGGGTGACTGCCGTCTCGGCACGCCCTGCCCATGGCTGGCCCTTTGCCTTGGCAAAGAAGCCCCACAGGGATGTTGTTGGCAGCTTGTTCTCTTCCAAGGAAGTAAATTGACCCCTCTCACGCTTCCCTTTCCTCTCCTGCTCGGAAGCTGCTGGATGTTCGCAGGCATGGAGGAGGAAAGGATAAACCAGCCCACTGCTGGGATGCTGAGGGTGAAGAATTCCAGCCCCAGAGCTTGGCAGGAATCTTTCACTCCCAGAGGCGAGTTCCTCCCTTCCTCTCTCACCCAACACCTTCCATGATCCCTGCTTTGAGGGGGAGCGAGGGTGTTGGTGAGCTCCCAGCTGGGAGTGGATGGGATGGTATCTCCACGCAGAGCTGTTTAACTCATTTTCCAGGCAATTCCTTGTGTGGCCTCCAAGGAGCCAAGTGCCAGGGGGATTTTAGGAGTGGGGAATTACATCAGGAGTAAAATCTGCAAGCTGCTCCTCAGGCAATGCAAGCAAATTCTTCTCTTACCAGCAGCTCCTTGACGGGGAGTTGCTCCATCCCCCTATCCCGAGGGGAATCCAGCACCACTGGGAAGCTCTTTTGGGGAGCGTGGGTGTAGCCAAACTCAATCTCATCCTAAAGAAGGAGGAAATCCCTCATGGGGCACAGGAGGGAAAAGCTTTTCCCTGTCTCTGGAGCCCCCCTACCTGCATCCAGCGATCCCCACGGTTGGTGTATCCGAAGCAAACCTTCAGCTTGCAGCCAGCCTTGGTCACCAGGCTCTGGATCTCCTTGGTGAACAGGTAGTTGTCTTTCATGCTGGGAAAAAGGATGGCAGGAGGGAAGGAGGTGAAGGATGGCTATTCCTCTGCCCAGTCTGTGCCTGGGACTGGTGTGCTGGGAATCTCCTCCCCCGGCCGTACCTGCACAGGAAGACGTTCACCGGGGCCAAGGTGTTGGGGGTCACGATCCACGGAGCCACCCGGAACACCACCGTGTCCGTGAAGACTGGAGTGTGTGGGATACCCTGAGGGAGCAAGCGGCAATCGGGGTCTTTCCACACACTATGGCCCCCAAATGCCCTTCCCCTGAGGTTGTTTTTGGGGTTAATTAGTGGGGATCGCTCTCCATTCCATCCCCGTCCCCTTCTCCAGCATAGCTGCAACAAGGCACCCCATCTGCACCCCTTCCCTGGAGCCCCCAGACCTCAGCCGGTGTCTCCAGGAGGCTGACGTGGATGGAGACCAGCCCGGAGAAGGAATCATCAGGAAAGCAGAGCCCCTCGACGAAGAAGTCGAGCTCAGCGGCCCCGCCAGGGTAGGACACGGCGTGGAACAGCTTCTTCCGGCCCAGCACCTGCACATAGCGCTGCCCAAAGAAGGGATCTGCAAGGAAGAGGAGAAAATGGGACAATGCCAAGCTTTCATTGGTGCTCCAAGCCTATTTCCCTGTGCAGGAGGACTCGTGGTCCCTCCTCCTCCGTGGAGATAAAACTTTGTCTTTGAGAACCACCTTTAAAACAGGACTGAAGGATTTCACAATTTTGCATGGACAAGGAGTATGAGGAAAAATGTCTTAGCCTTTCCTTGGATGGAGCAGCCACTGGGAAGGCATTTTCATGGAGGAAGAGGCAGAGGAGGAGGGCAGGAAGGACTTACTCTGCACATGAAACACCCCAACTCTGTCGGCGTCATGGACAGAAACAGAGAGAACGATTTCATACCCCCGGGGCAGGCGCTGGGGCCCCTCTGTCCTCAGCACCATCTGAGACATGTCAGCCAGATCTGGGAGGGGCAAACAACACAATTAGGACATGCCTTACATGCTCCCTCCTGGAGTTTGCACCTCCTTCCCAAGAACTCTGCTCTTCCCTCGCCACCACCCTTTGCAACCTGGCAAAACCACCGCTGTTCCTGCTGACAAAGCTTGTGCCCTTGTTTTAGCTTTTCTTTGCTCTCCTCAGCCCTGGCATGGCCCGTCCTTGACCTCAGAAAGCTGATGGGCACTGGCTCCATGTGGTTCTAGTTTTCCAGGAACTGGTGGTGCCCTCAGCGGCACTGCCGCGGTTGTTCTGGCTCAGCTTCACGGCCCTGCGTGGCCACAATTGCTGTGCGTGGCATTAAATGCCAAAAGGTTCCCCCATGGGAAGCATGTCCAGCAGCTGGTAGAGAGCAGCTGGTTCCCCAGCAAAATTCTATCCCAGAAAACATGAAAGAGAGGGGGAATCGTGGAGGATTTTTGGGAAACTCTATTACCTTCCTTGTTGAACACCTGCTCGTTGTTGCAGTCGGACGCTGGAGTGGAGGGAACCTCCCTGTCACAGCCGACCAGCAGGATGGCCCCGTGTCCCTTGGGCCCCCAGGTCCAACTGGCCTGAAAGAGCCCACTGAGGCTCAGCAAGCTCAGCCTCAGGCAAGCCCATGGATTTTCCCGGTGGAGGGAGAGGGGTTACCTTATTGGGGCTGTTCCTTTCCACCACGCCGTCCTGATCTGCATCGACATCCAGAGAGATCCCTGGATGGACAGGATGGATTTCACCCAACCATCACCCCAGGGCACAGCCAGGTTGGGTGGGAGAAAACCCCCCCCAGCCCCGGCAAACGTGGGTCCATCTCTCCCCCCACTCATCCAAGGGATCAGTGGGGTGAGGATGGATTGTTGCACCCAGGAGCCTCTGTACTCACCGATGCCGGTGAGGAAGACCCCGGCTTGGGTGATGGGCTTCCCTTCCTCTCCATAAAAGCTGACAGTGACCTGCAAACCCCCAGATCCCACACTGGGGAAGGATGTTCTCCATCCGTGGATGTCCCACAGCCCAGTGCCCCGTGGCTCACCTTGTTGTCGTTGACCTCGGTGCTGGCCTGGCTCATGCTGAACCTCAGGACCGTCCCCTCCTCCAGCGGCCACCTCGTCCCACTGCCGGGGACCGGCTCGGCCTCGGCCCGGCCCCGCCACACCACGTCCACGCTCACCCCCTCCGTGTGCTTCACCCCGAAGGAAACTGCCCCTGCTGGGGCCGCCCTGCCAAAACCAGTCCACATTTTGAGAGGGTTGCAGTGAAAACACTCGGCTCTCGCTGCAATTAACAGCCAAGAGTGGGCATGCCGGCGTCGCCACGCTCACCACCGGCACCTTCTGCCCTTCCCTGCCCCCCTGGGAATTTAAGCTGTCCTCTTTTTTTAGGGCAGAAGATGCTGGTTTAGCACAAGGAGTGTTTGAGCCAGTGCAGATTAGGATCTGTAATAATCCCAACCGAGCTGCTGGAATTGGATTTGGGTTTAATGCCCTTCAATGGAGAAATCCCTGTTTGTTTTCCAACCAGTGTCTGATAGCTCATCACAGCACCGTGGCCACTCCACTGAGAGACTTTTCCACGGGAAGTTCTAGTTTGGGGCTGATTTTATCCAGCTAATTTGGGGGTGATTTTATGCAACCCCAAAGCTGTCAGTGCTGCACTGCTCCCAGTCCAATGTGCCCTTTCTCTTCCCCAGCCACTCCGAGCAACTCCTGACCCTCTCCTGACTCCTTTTCCTGAATTTCTGCTTCCCAGCAGAAGATGCTGCTTTAGCACAATGAGTGTTTGTGACTATTGGTGCAGATTAGGATCTATAATAATCCCGGTCTAATTGGCGCTGCTGGAATTGAACTGGGGTTTACACTTCAATGGAGAAATCCCTGTTTATTTTCCAGCCCAGGCAAACCCGTGTTTACCAGCTCATCACAACACTGAGAGACTTTTCCATGGGAAACTCTAATTTGGGGCTGATTTTATCCAGCTAATTCAGGGGTGATTTTATCCAACCCCAGAGCCATCAGTACTGCACCGCTCCCAGTCCGACGTTCCCTCTCTCTTCCCCAGCCACCCCGTGCAACCCCTTCCCCTCTCCTGGCTCCTTTTCCCGAATTTCCCAGTCTTTCCAGGTTATTATTTTTGGGCTGTTTGCCCCGACACCCGAGAGCTGGTGCCGGATCCCCGTTACGGCTTCATTGCTCGGATGGTTTCTGGATGCCGACGGTCCCACCAAACCTGCGCCGTCGGGCAGGGGGGGAGGGAGGAAACCTGAGCACTCCTTTGCTCCTGCCTGGGTGTTTCTGAAATCGTTAAATTACTTTTAATTATACATGGACAAACTGGTTCGGTTTCCTTGTTTCTTGGTTTTGGGAATCCCACCAGGAATTTGACCTGGAGCAATGCCAGGGGAGTTGTGGTTCTGCTGCTTGGCTTGAATATCAAGGGGGAGATTTGCAAAGCCAGCAAAGACCAGAATTAACCCCGAAATGAGCTTTTAAACTTTTTTTTTTCCCCCCTTGGGTGGAATAATTATCCTGAAGTTCAACACTGGGGTTGTTTTAGGGAAGGGTGTGTGGGGATTTCCCACTTTCCCAAGACACGTTTTTGTCACTAAATCTTGTTTTCCTTCCCTCTCTCCGCTGCATCCCTTCCTTTGCAGTCCATCCCCGTGGCTCCTGCTCATCCCTCCGCTCTCCAGCAGCATTCCAAGATGACGCTGGATCAAACCCAGCGTGGGCTCGGGGTAAATCCTGCCTTGAGGAACTGGGGATGCTCGAAGCTGGCCCGGGATTTGTGCAGCCCCGCAAAGCCTGGGGGGGATTCTGCCCACGAAAAGGGGTTTGGGGAAGGGGGTGACCAAACGAGGAGGGGGGATTGGCAGCAGGGGGGAAGGGACTGGCAGCAGGGGGGAAGGGATTGGCAGCAGGGGGGAAGGTGAGGAGGAAGGTGCAGGTGCGGGAGGGAAGGGGGGGGTGCCCCACTCACCCGTGGACATCGGCGTGGACGTGGCAGCCCAGCACGCACAGGGCCTCGATGCGGTTGCCGAGCTGCAGGCGGAGCGTGCGGCCCCCCGGCATCTCCACGGACACGCAGGGCAGCACCGAGCCCCCCGGGCACCCTGCCCCTTCCCCTGCCTCCCACAGACCCCCCTCCCCTCCGCCGAGCGGGGCCGGGCTCTGCGATGGCTCGGGATGACACTCGGGATGACACTCGGGATGACACTCTTGGGATGACACCCGGCAGTCCAAAGGCAGGGGAGGCTGGATTGGACCCTCTAAAGCCTCGGGAAAATGATCTCCGAGGGGAGGGAAGGGATGGAGAGGGAGGGCAGCTGGCCTGGAGCCCGCTCAGCTCCCAGCCCTATGCAAGGAGCTCCCCCAGCTGTCCCCAAATCCCTGCACTGTCTCTGTGACCCCAAGCAGGAATCAGCACCATGGGGGCGATTTTCCAGCAGTTCGGATTTTGGCGTATCCGCCCTTTTTTGCTCTCTAGGGAAAATCTCTGGCTGCTCTTGGGAGGCAGAAACACATTTCCCAGCCCTTAGGCAAGAGCAGAACTCTCCCTTTTTTTTCCCCAGCTTATTTTCAAAGGGAAACCGGGAACCAGTTGCTGCTGAAGGGAAATCAGGGTGGTTTTGCCACCCCACGGAGCACGTCGGGAGCAATTGCTGCCCACGCAGGCGTTTGAATCCTTCATTACCATCCAACTAAATATTCATTTCAGAACCCAAACTTCTGCCCCAGATTTTGGAAGCCACAAGCAATTAGCGACAAGCAGAGACGTTCAGGGTGATGTTCCCTATTTATATCCCTCTCGGGCTTTTCTTTTCCAGTCCTCTCTTCCCTCTGTGGCCGAGGTGCAGGGAATCATCTCAAATCCACTTTTCCATCTGAAAGAAACCCTGCCTTGGGTTGTTTTGTTTTGGGTTTTTTTTTGCCACGATCTGGATAAATGTGAGTGAGGACATAAAAAAGGGGGCAGTTTTGCTGCTTTTCTGCATATGCAAAAAATGAGATTTGGGGCAACTTTCTGAAACAGTAAAAATGTTCTCCCTGAGCAATATGAGAAAATAGAACCCACCTGGCTCCCAGACTATGCCAAAACATCGGGAATTTGGGTTAAATGACTCCCAGCTTAGACATCCCGATCCAGGATTTGACCTGGAATATATTCCAGCTTCCGAAAAGCATCTGGTTTATCTGTGCAACCCTTGTGTCTTTAAACCACCAGGAGTAACAAAACACTCCTGAAAGAGGAACCAGAAAGAGAAATAATTTAAAAAGAGAAAAAAAAAGAAAGAAACCAAAACCACCTCGTGTTTGCCCCAGCGGGTTCTGCTGTCCAGCCCTGCAGGAGATTTATTTTCCCTCTTTTTACCCCCAAACAGCTGGAATTGCACGGGCAGGGACGGCCTCACTTCCCTGTGATCTGTGGGCTGGGGAAATGGAGGTGTCAAATCATCAGTTTGAAAGCAAATTAGTGAAAAAAGCAGCTTTTCTTTCATCATTTTCACTTCCCAATTCCTGCCCCCCCGAGTCTGGTATTTCAGTTGTCAGGGAGGAGAACAAATGTTATTTAAATCCTCCTGTGCTTAAAAAAACCCAACAGAACCCAACCCCAAATCCCTCCCTTCTCATGCAGACCCCAAGGTTTCGCCATCCCTTGGGAATTTTAAAATCAGTGGGATTTCGAGCTGGTTGGTTTTAGTGATTTATTTATTAATGTATTTGTAGCTCTCCTGGTGTGATGGTGCTGGAATCTGCCAGGCAGAAGGAAAACTTTGATCCCAGGGATTGAAACCCTGGTGGTCCCGAGCATCTTTGGGTCACCCTGAGGCATTTTTGGGCTCGTTTGTGCTTCTCTGGGAGGAGGCAATGAAACAAAAGAGAGGAAAATGCGCTGTTTGGGGGCAAAAGCAAAGGAGGAGCTGCCGGACTGAGTGGGAAAGGGGCTGGAAGAGCCCATTTCCCCTCCACTGCACTGCTCTCTGAGGGTTTTTGGCAGCCAGGTTTGGTCTTTAGAAGCCATGTGGGGTCTTTCAAAGCTTCTTGGGATCTTGGAAAGCCTTTGGGGAGGCGTCTTAAAAATCTTCTCAGAGTCTTTGCAGCCCTTCTGGGGTCTCCTAAAGCTTCCCAGTGACTTATGACCCTTTGGGATTCTTTGCCAGCCATGCAAGGTATTTATGGGCTTTCTAAGGTCCTTGCAAGGCCTTGGGGGGTTCTCTTAAAGTTTCTTTGGGGTCTCTGGAAGCCTTTGTGTCTTCTCAGAGTCTTTACAGCTCTGCTGAGGTCTCCTAAAGCTTCCCCATGACTTTACAACCCTTTTTCTTTGCCCCCCCCCCCCCTTCAGGATCTTTCAAAGCTCCTTGGGCATCTTTGCAGGGCTTTTGGGGGATCTTTCAAAGCTTCTTGGGTGATTTTGCAGCACAGATCCCAGCTCCGGGGTTTGCAAGCAGCTCCCCCGGAGCTGATCCCGGAGAGTTTTCCCCGCACCGGGTGCTCCTCGGGGAGGAGCCGCTCAAGGGGAAAACTCTCCGGGATCAGGGTCCCTGGTGGAAAGGGGGGGGTTTCCACCCCTGGGGGACCTGCTCAGGGATTTGGGGTCATTCTGTGGCTCCCCCGTGGAGGCACGAGCCTGATTCCAACGAGTGGGAGGGAAATGTTCCCCCGTGGAGCCCTTTCAGAGCTAACCTTTCATGTTTAGGAGGTGCAAACAGGTGCCCATCCCGAGAGAGAGAGAGAGAGAGAGAGAGCCACGAGGCGCTCGCTGCCTGTTCGTGCCCGTTCCTGCCCGGAATTTTGGGAAGAGGCAGCTCCGAGGAGGCCAAACCAACGCAGTGGGGAGGATGAAGGCAAAGCTGAGCCCACCCCTGGCGTTCTTGCTGCCCCGGAGAGCGGGGAGGGGGATGTTCGCAGGGATATTTATAGGGCAGCAAAATCGAATGCAAAGCTGGGGCGGAGCGTGGGCAGGCTGAGCACGGGGTGGGGGGGACGTGCACGACTCCAGCCCCGGGCAGCAGCAGTTTTATGGGATGCTTTGGATCCTGGATTATGGTATGAAGCCTCCCTGCAGGCAGACGCCTGTGCTTTGCGGAGGGGAAAGGACAGAGAGGGATTTTTGGGGGCGTTCTGGTTGCAGAGCCAGGAGGTTTTCCAGGATTGGCACCAAAAAGTTTTTTTTTTCCCTGGTCCAAACCAGCGTCTCCCCATTATTCCCTGGCTTCCAGCTGGGATGGGGAGTGCTTGGTGGCTGTCTGGGATGCTCCAGCCCTGCTGTTACAGCTATGTGCCTAAAGAAAATAAACCCTCATGCAAACCCCAGCGGGACTTGATAACTGGTTTGATGTCTTGCCCTATTGCAAGTAATTAGGCTGACATGGCTCTTAAAAGTTCCTGCTTGCAATTAGACATGCAGAGTAATAAATAAGGGGTAATTATCGGCTTAGGGAGATTATCAAACTTTCCTTGACAGAGTGGTGGTGCAGGATGGGTGAGAAGAAACGCCCCAGAGGGATGGGATGAATGGGATTCCCGGGGGAGCACTGACGGGGGGCCGGGTCTGGCTGGGTCATGCCTAAAACCAGGCTGGAGTTGGGCAAAAGCCAAAGTCAGGCCCAAGGGAGGGCAGGCCGAGCTGCTGCAGCTTGATGGACAGGCAGGATCCCATCTGTCATGTCCCACGGATCTGAATAGCAACTTTCTCAGGACAAGGTGTTATTAGGAGGAAACACTCAGCCCTGAATGGGCCGGATGACTTAAAATGCTCATTCTCCCTGTGCACGGGCATGTCGGCCTAATAGCAGGTGGAGGAGGAAGAGGAGGGCAGTGGAGGTCCCACCCAACCCACACAAGGTGTTTGGGGCCTGCCCCAGCCTCTGCAGGGACCCAACACCCGTGACTGAACGCGCTGGAAAAATCCACCCCAACCTGAAAGGGCCGCGAGCTCCAGGCTCCCTGTGCCCATCCTTCCCCATGGATGGGAGGGATCCTGGCTGGATTTGGACAAACACTCCGGGCTCCCTGTGCCCATCCTTCCCCATGGATGGGAGGGATCCTGACTGGATTTGGACAAACACTCCGGGCTCCCTGTGTCCATCCTTCCCCACGGATGGGATCTCAGCTGGATTTGGATAAACGCTCTCTGCTGAAGGCCCTGGCACTCACTGGGAGCCCGAAACCACCATCCTCCCCCTCCCTCCAGATGACAGCCCACAGCAGCCTGACCCGTGGGGATTAAGGTGTGTTCCCTGTCCGGCACTGGGAACCAGCCGAGCAGGATACAGAGCTCCAATCCCAGCAGGCAGCAAGCTCAGCACCGTGCCCAGTCCAAACCAGTGGGACCAGCAGCCACTACTGGGGAACCCAAGCTGCAGCTCTTTCAGGAGAGATGCTGCCGTGGCCAAACTCGTCCTCAGAGGATGCAGGCGGCTCCTCACCCGCTTTTCCAGCTCTGCTTCTGCCCAGCTCCAGGTTTTAGGGATCCACAAGGTCCTTGAGAACCAACACAATTCACAGATCTGGGAACACACGGAGTTTGGGTTGTGCTGGCATTTGGAAAATTGGGGTTTATCTGGAATCTCCAGCGAGGAGAGCTCTGGCAGAGCCTGGAAGCCCCGCCGGTGTTCCCCACCGGAGCATCCTGCCGCTCCTCCAGGCTCCCACGGACTTATTAAAGCTCTTCTTGCATCTGAGACACAGAGCCGGGGTTTTGTTGCTGCAATTAAAGACGGAGGGAGCCCTTTAATGTGTCCTGGCTGGGAGATGTGTAAAGCAGCTGGTTTGATCTCCCAAGGGAACGGCTGCTCCTCTGGCGGAGGACGCGGCGCTCGCTGCCCTGCCGGCGACTGGGCCCCGACTCTGCTCAGCTCACTTGGACCTTCCCAGGTTCCAAGGGGTCCTGCCACTCCCAAAACTGGGTTCCTCCTCATTCCAGCCCTCTCCTGCCCATGGCATCCCTAAGCTGAACACATCACCTCGTGAGGATGAACCCTGTGGCAACGGGACACTCTCCGTCCCTGTGTTTTGCCTTTTCCTCCAGCTGAGCTCCATCCCCCAGACCTTCTCCCCACCTCAACAAGATTAACCTTGCCTGGCTTCCCTCTTTGCAGGCAGGCAAATCCTCCTGGGATGGCCTGGAGAGAGATGGCTATCTCCACTAATGCCACCTTCCAGCAGAGGGGATGATTCCCTTGGGATCTTTGCCCCAAAAACCCCAATCCCCTGAAACGCGAGATCCAAGCGAAACAGGGAAAACTTTTTAATTTCCACGGGAAGCCTCCTGTTGGTTTGTTGTTTCTTGTCTTCTCCTTCCCTGCCAAACAACCAGTTCTCCCTGTGCCCGTTTCTGCCTGTCTCCCGTCCTCGGGACTCGTCCTGATGGGAAGCAGCGACCAGAGCAAACATTTCCTTTTGCTCAGCTTTGTTCAGGCTTTGCCCTGATGCTGCAGCCCAGGCCATGAGTCACCCGTGCAGAGGCCACACGGAAAATTTGGGTTGTTTTAAAGCAAAAAGCTTCATTTCAATGATAATATTGTAATAACCCCAAACAACCACCTCGGAGGAGTAATGCATGTTTAATGCATTAAAGCCTGGAGGAATTAGATGGAGCCGGGAAGGAATGAAAAGGGGGAGAAGAAATACCTGAGAGCTCAGGGCTGAGCATCCCAGGGCAGGGCTGGGTGTCACTTCTGCCCCGTGTCCCCTCCCTGGGGCTGCCCTATCACCTCCATCTCCCCGAGCGGGGCGGCAGCTCGTTGGGTGCTGGAGGTGCTGGAGGTGGAGACCGGCAGGGTCCCCTGGCCGAGCCCCGTCATCGAGGGAAGGAGGAGTTAAATTCCCCTGCCTTTTAATCCAGTCCTGCTGGTTTCCCTGCACAGCCAGGCAGCAGGCTCCTTCCCATGCGGGCACACCATGCCCCAGCGTCACGTCATGCAGATGTCCACCAGCCACGCCACCTACGGCGTCTGCGTGGTGGGCACCGAGGTCTTCCTCGACACGCGCCGGTAAGGTTGGGGTGGGGGTCGGGGTGTTCCCACCCTTTGCCACAGCGCTGGTGGGGTCTGGAGGAGCCCAGTGGTGTTTTGGAGGAGGGAGGGGAGCTCAGAGCCCACATGAGGAGCTGCTGCAGGGCCTGATGGGCCGTGTCCCGCGGGCTGTGTCCCGGGGGTGATGTCCCACCGGCAGGGACGCCGGCTCTGCCGAGGCGTCGAAGCATCGCCGAGCCGTGACGGTTTGTAGGCAAAGCCCGAGCACACCCCGGCTAACCCTGGGTCTATTTCTGGCTGTGAAAACATTGGGCAAGAGCGATTCAAGCTCGGCAACTTGGAGCTAAAACGGGCTGAAGGATAAAACCTGTGGCTCAGGCCGGAAAAATCCACCGGCGCGTTTTGCCCGGGCGATTCCAGGAGAGGAGATTCTTCCGGAATTAAATACAGGGGTTGGTTTATTGGTCAGATACGAGGCTGTGTCTGCCCTGCTGTTACAGTGTCATTATTTAATAAATCATGATTATAATGATACAGACAGGACAAGTCAGTCGGCATCACAGCCGGGGCAATTATTGGGGTTGTGTGTTGGCGCCGGGCCAGGATGTGCCGTCGTCCCCCTCCAAGGGCTTTGCACTGAGCTTTGCCTGCCCTAAAAGGGTCCTATTTTCTCCCTCAGCCATACAGGAATATATAAAATCCTATTATTTGCAAGTTTTTGTCCTGGTTTGGGACTCAAAGCGCGCTCGGATCTTTTTAAACGTGGGGCCTGAGCCCCAAAATGGGCTGGTTTGGCTCCTCTGTAGCAAATTTGAGCTTTGGACCAAAAAAGCAGGTGGTGGATGCTTTTTCCACTAAAAAAATGGGACCATTTTATTCCAGGACAGCACCAGCTGGGGGGAACTTGGTGATGGATGCATCAAGTTTTGACCGTGGTTTGGGCTGTTTCGGGGCAGGAAATGGAGTTTGGTGGGAATCTGGTGATGGTGACATGGGAGGGCTGTAAAAACAGGGCAAATAGACCCAAACTGGAAGAGTCATGATATCCAACAGTGTTCAGGTGGGTTTACAACCAGGGCAGTAGAACCAGAGCAAATAGACCCAGACTGGAGGAGTCACGACATCCAGCAGCGTGCAGGTGGATTTATGACGTTACACGATGCGAAGGATGGGGCATGTCAAGGGAGATGATGCTTTAATCTCCCTGTACAAGCTACTGCAGGCATCAGGGATGCCATGCCAAGAGCAGCACCGGGAATAAATCTCCTCTGTCAGTTTTTTGATGTTCTCCCTTTTGTTCCTGCTGTTGAAATTTCCCACCTCGTGCCTTCTCGGAGGCTCCCGACAGCAGACAGGTCGGAGCACTCGTGCTCCTGGGATGGAGGTGCTGGGGCTGTAATGAGCAGGTAGGCAGCACTTCAAAGGCTGCCAAAGGATGTCATGCAGGTGGGGTGTGGGTTCTCCGTGCTCGGATTTGGGCTCCGCTCCAAGTCTGAGCATCTCTCAGCTCAGCAGCTCAAGGGATGGTCCTGCAATAACCATCTCCCCGGATGGTTGCCATTAAAAATTATCCAGGCTCTTTGTCCGGGTTTTGTCCCAGGATGCTGAAATTCTGAGCATTTTCTGGGTGTTGTGGAGGGAGGTTGGATGCCCAAACTTGGGCGATTCCCAATCCAGGCTTAACCACGGGCGGACGTGCCGGAGCTGCAGTGGGAGCTCTGCTTGCCCAACACCACCACAGAGATAGTGCACGGAAAACTCAACCATTTCATCATCCTAAGATGGTTTATGAGCCCTTTCCACCCAGTTAAGGCTGGATTTTAATTCCAGGTTCAAGCAGAGGAGAACTGGAGGGACGGCTTGGTCTCTAACCCAATCCTCTGTTTCAGGTCTACCCCCAAAGCCGCCACGTCATTCGACGTCCATGCCACCTCCGCGGTCACGGTCCACATCATCCACAACCCCACGACAAAGCCCATGATTGACTCCAGGTGGCCCCTGGATCCCGACATCGAGGTTGTAGTGACCATTGACGTCACCAGCAGGACCGTCAATGACAATAAGGTCGGTTGGGTTTCCAGGCACTGAAACCAGAAAAATGAGCCCAATTTCCCGGGAAAACAGGGAGGGTTATGGGCAGCCTCTGAGTAGCTAAGTCAGTGCTAAGTAGTGCTGACATTGGGCTTGTTTTTCATGGAAAAGAACTCCAACTGAATTGTGTAATTAACACGTACCAAAAACGAAATTGAGAAGGAGAAGTAGATCCCCTCTTGTTCCCTCCTGATGACACAGTGGTGACTGCAAAATCTGGTGCCAGGCAGCAAAAATCCTCCAAGCTTGGCTGTTTCCATGCCGGGTTTTGTGCTGAACCAGGCAGAAACGGTTCGGGGGAACTATGATTAATGGAGGATGGCCGGGGTGAACCCTCCAAGGGCTGGCTGGTTGGTCAGCGCGGGCAGTGAGGAGCCCTGCTCAGCTTTCCGGGACGTGGGGGTGTTTTGCAGGTTAAGATCTCCTACTATGGCCGGGAGGGCAACGAGCTGGCAGTGGCCTGGCTGTACCTCACGTGTGTCGGTAGGTGTGACACAAACCCCCGGCCAGACCTCGCTGGTGCCGAGATCTGGTTGGGTTGGTGGGGTGGGAGTTAAGTGGGGGGCGCGGGGAGGAGGGTTGGGTGTTCACCGATGCTGACGAGCAAGAGGGGAACAATTAAAATGTTATTGCGCTGCCTTATATGGTGCAAAAGAGAGAGGCTGGGCCGGGTCCCCACCCAGCACACTCCAAGCATCCTCCTCTGCTTGCCAACACCATGTGCTGGGCCAAGAGGAGCCAAGGGAGAGCTCCTCACCCAGCTTTGCCCGGTGCCCTCCTCCCCCCCAACCTCTGTCGCAGTTAGGGGAGAGCAATTGGCACCCAAGTGTTGTCTGACCTATTTCAGAAGTTTAGGGTGAGGTGAATCATTCCCTCCAAATGCCTGTTTTTCCCTGCTGACTACAAAGGGAGTCTAGACAACCAGTCTGGATGCAGAAGCCTTCCACTTGGATGGATTAATTACCCTAAATTTGGGATTTTCTAAAGCACTCACATGATACCTCTGTCCTGAAGTCATGAATATGCCTCCCAAAATTGGGCCTGAAGAGGCTGAAGGTTTCCCACGTCCCTCAGCTGATGGGCTCCACTGGAGCCATCTGGGGCTGCCACGGCCACAGGGCTTCTGCCTTACAAATGTTCTCCTCATGATTAGATTTGGACTCTCCTTCCCAGCTTCTCCATGTCCTCCTCTCTGCTCAATCCTGGTATTTTCCATGTGGGGTTTTTTATTAGGATTAAGGTAGGGTTTGGATGAGGTTGCTGGTAAACCTCTGCTCTGTAGCAGCAGAGGCAGAAATCTGGGCCAAGGGCAGGAGGGAAAGTCCTTCTCAAATGCTACATCAAGCCTTGGAATTATTTAGGTGTTCACTCAGCCACAGGGAAAAATAAATAAAGTTAAAAATAAATTTGAAAAAATAAGTATGAAATTGATGAAAACATAAAATGCACCATAAAATGGGGACGTCCCACCTGGGGGAACCAAAATAGGAGAAGGCAGCTGGAAATCAAAGGGGGACAGCCATGAAAACACCATCGGGTTGGATTCTCTGTCAGCATTTTGTTGGAGATGTTGGGTCTGGAGCAGCTTCGGGGTGTGAAGGTGGGGTTGGTGCTGGATGAGCCCCAAAGGGCACCAGGAGCTCATTCTGCTGCCTGTGGTTCCCTCTCTCGGTGTCTCAGATGTGTCCCTGGACGTGGACTGGAGCCGGAGCGGCCGAGTGAAGAGCAAAGGGAAGGACAAGGTAATGAGGAGCTTTGCTGGAGGGTCAGTCCCAGCCTATCCATTTGGAGTCTCTTCCCTGAAAATCTCCAGGAAGGAGAGGGACTTGGGTGGTGTCTGAATTAGGGTAAATAACCTGCAAAATCCTCAACCTACTAATTGAGGAGGAAGAGACTTTTTTTCTTATTCTGTGCCAAAATTCCCTACGTCTCCACTCCAGCCCTGAGGATCCCGTAGGACAAAACCCTCTGCTCTTTCTTCCCTCTTCTTTCTTCTTCCTTTTCCTTTTTGCACATGAAACAGACCACTAAATGAGTTTAGCAAACAGCCAGAGACCTACCCCTTTGGCAAGAAATCTGCATATGCCCAGGCACTTAAGTTGGGCTAATTAAGTGCAGCCCAATCAACGGCGCAAATCGTGCATCGAGATGGGACGTGTCTCTACAAACGGTGCAGCCTTGTCCAGAGGAGGCCTGGCAGATACTTTCTGCCTGGTCAGAAGATAAGATCACTTCCAAATAGTCTTTGCTGGCCCTGCTGGAAGCTGAGGTTCGGAAATGTAGTGCCTGGAGAGTGTCACTGGTGTTTGGGAACCGGGAAGGACAGCGGGTGTTCCCCCCAGGCAGTGAGGAGGGTGGGATGGGGGGAATCTTGCTCCAGTCCTCTTTTGGTGCTTCTCTGGCAGGCCAAGTGGACGTGGGGCCCGGATGGACAAGGTGCTGTGCTGCTGGTCAACTGTGACCGGGACAGCCCCGGCATGGGGGGGCCGGACAGTGGCCAGGTGGACGTACGGACCCCTGCAGGTCGGTGTCCCCCACAGCCTGAGGGGACCCAAAGGGTCTCACTGGGGTCTTTCCCACTTCCAGCACCTCCATCCCCTCTCTCCATCTGTCCCCACGCAGACCTGCAGGACATGTCCATGATGCTGCTGAGGACCCAAGGGCCCAGCACCACCTTTGATGAGTACCAGGTGGTCCTGCACGTCTCCGAGACAGACGCGGATAAAGTGCGGGTTTTCCACGCCATCCGTGAGTATTCCTTCCTTCCTTCCTTCCTTCCTGCTCTCCCAGATATCCGAGCACGACCCCAAGGTGAGGAAACCCTAAATTTTCCCTTCACTGGGGCACTTCCATTTGCTGCAAACACTCGTTTAGCCCCAAAGCTCCTCTGCCGTGGTGGAAGGTGGGGCCTCATGTTAAAAATCAAGTGGGGAAAAAGATCAAAAGAAGGCTTTTCTCCATGAGGCTGATGAAATTTTGGCATTCCTGTGGAGCGGAAAGCCCAGCTCCTCTGTGGCACGGGCAGTGACCCAACCCCCAGAGCTGCCCATCTCGTTCTGCCTTTGAACAGTTCCATCCCCGGCAGGTCCCTGCCGAAAATCAGGTCAGGGAAGCCAAGGGTATCATTAGATACTTAACTCAAGCCACGCACCTTGAAAGGGTTGGACCTGAGGGTACGGAGTCCTCTCTGTGCCAGGGAGATGCAGAGTGTTCCCGGGAGAGCAGGAGGCACACCCGCTGCCCCGCCACCCGCACGGCATCGGCCTCGCCGGTGCCTCCTGCCAGCCCTCACAGCGGGCTGGTCACCACTCCTGGGTGGGTGTTGGGGTGTTCCGGCAGGCAGTGACTCACATCCCCACTACAAGCCCGTGCTGGGGCCAGACAAGCTCTCCTACACGCTGGACCACGTCGGCAACGGGGAGAACACCTTCTACGTGGAAGGGTTGGCCTTCCCCGACAGGGGTTTCTCTGGGCTGGTCTCCTTCAGTGCCAGCTTGCTGGAGGTCCCCCATAAGGTAGGTGAGGTTTGCCCCATCCCCTGGGCCCCCAGTGGCTGGGATTCCCAGCACTGCTCCCTGCTGGCTTTGCCCCTCACAGAACTCCCCGGGCACGCCGATTTTCACGGACACGGTGGTTTTCCGCGTGGCTCCCTGGATAATGACGCCCAACACCCAGCAGCCTCTGGAGGTTTTTGTCTGCAGGTAGGAGGGATGTCCCCCCATTGCTCTCCTGCCTTGGGGGACTCTTCAAGGAGGTGTTTTTGGCCCTTCTTTGCTGTGCAGCAACAGTGGGGTGAGCCAGGCTTTGTGCATCCATTACTGGGGGCACTCTTTGGGAGTGGAGCCCGATGTCACTGCTACTGCAGTGCCAAGGAGAAAGGCTGGACAGGCTCTGCAGGTCCTGTCCCATGCAGGACTCTTGCCCAGCGTGTTTGGGAGTGAGGAATGGGCTGCACGGCTGGGGCTGTGGGAATTTCTCGTTGGATCCTACTCCTTGGTCTCCCCTCTCGCTCCAGCATCAAGCAGGGCTCAGACTCCAACGAGGCCTTTCTGGAAGGGCTCAGGGTCCTGCTGAGGAAAGCCAACTGCAAGCTGACCATCTGCTCGGAGCAGGACACCCGGAGCGACCGCTGGATCCAGGTCATCAGTCCCTGCTTGTCCATCAGTCCCTGCTTGTCCATCAATCCCTGCTTGTCCATCAGTCCATGCTTGCTCTCTGTGGCTCTTCTGGTCCCTTACAGGCTCTTGGGGGACATGAGGTGTCACTCCCATGGCTGGCACCCCCTGGAGGGACTGGCTGCTTGGGAAGCACTTGGATGCCGGGAGATAGGCCAGGCAGCCGGGAACTGAAGCCCGGGGAAATGCTGCTGGTGGTGGAAACCAGCACGGGCAGGGATGGTGTCCAGGAATCCTGGAACTAGAAGAGGGACATTGGAAGAGGGACCTCATTGCCAGAGGGACCCTGTGGGGTTTTGGAATAGGGTGTCTACTGCAAGAGGGACCCCACTGAAAGAGGGGACCCCATGGGGCACTGCAAAGGGGGCCCCACTGCAAAAGGGACCCCTTGGGACGTGGAAAGAAGGATTCCAGGGGAGATTCCATGGGGAATTCCATTGCAGGAGGGAACCTCATGGAGCGCTGCAAGAGGGACCCCACTGCAAGAGGGACCCCATGGGATTTTGAAGAGGGAACTCATTTCAGGAAGGACCCCATGGGATACTGCAAAAGGGGCCCCATTGCAAAAGAGACCCTGTGGGACTTTCAAAGGGTGTTCCCACGTCAAGAGACCCCCTGGGGCTCTGCAAGAGGGATCCCACTGAGAGGGATCCCATGGGAGCATTGCAAGGGGGTCCCCATTGCAAAAGAGACCCTGTGGGGCATTGCAAGAGGCTCTCCACTGCAAGAGAGGCCCTACAGGACACTGCAAGAGGAGCCCATGGGACATTCCATGAGGAACCCCATTGCAAAAGAGACCCCAGGAAATATTGCAGGAGGGTTCCCAGTGCCAAAGGGACCCCCTGGGACTTTGGAAGAGGGTCCTCACTGCAAGAGGGATCCCCTGCAAGAGAGAACCCAAGGGGGCACAGCAAGAGGGACCCCCACTGAAAGAGGGGACCCTCGGGCTGCACAGGAGGGTCTCCCCTGCAGGAAGGCCCCTCCACTCACCCCCAGGACTCGGGTGGGCCGGTGGGCAGTGCCCTCCCTGTCCCACAGCCCTGCCCCTCTCCCTGCCCCCTGTGGCCCGTGTTGCTGCCCAGGGCTGGCCCTGGGTGGGGTGTCACCCCGGGACAGCGAGCTGTGGTTCAGGGCAGGAGCTGAGCTTTGCCAGGCTCACCCCATTTCCTGCTCCACCCTCCCCACCGTCCCTGTGGAGATGCCTATCCCCCTGCCCGGGGCCTTCCTCCCCTTCCTCCTCCTCCTCTTCTTCCCACCACAGGATGAGCTGGAGTTTGGCTACGTGGAAGCACCACACAAGACCTTCCCCGTGGTCTTTGACTCTCCCAGGAACAGGGGATTGAAGGATTTTGCCTTTAAAAAGATCCTGGTGCGTGGGTGCATTGAAAGCCCCTTTTCTCCCCCCGAAACTCCCTCTACGGAGGGTCCTTGGCAGCACCTCCCTCCTCCTCTTCCCCAGGGCCCCGATTTTGGCTATGTGACCCGTGAACCCCCTGGGAAAAACGTCACCAGCCTGGACTCCTTCGGCAACCTGGACGTCAGTCCTCCGGTGACGGTGCGGGGGAAGGAGTATCCCTTGGGAAGGATCCTGATCGGCAGCCCCCTGCCCTGGTGAGGAGCTCCAGCCCCGCCTCTGGAATGCGGGAAGCACCGAAAATCCTTGCCTGGGAAAAGTGGCACCTCTCACAGAGGAAATTCGGAATCAAAGTGGGAATCAGGAGCCGATTCCCAGCAAATCCCAGATTTAACAGGCGAACCGTGTCGCTGTCCCTTCATCCCTTACAAAACGCTGCCCCCCTTCCCAGAGCCGCGGGGTTTGCTCCCAACCCCGGCCCTTCCAGGCCTGGAATTGTTTCTTAAAGAGAGGAGCGGGGAAATGCCGGGAAGGGAGAAACCCCGGACAAGGGGAGGTCGTTTCGCTCCGGGCAGGGGGGGCCCGTGGGGGCAGCAGCGTCTCAAACCCCCCGAGAGGAGCGGGAGCAGCAGCCAAGGGAACCATCCCAACCATCGGGGGCTGCTCCCGAGTGACCCACGCGCTGCTCCCGCGGGTCCCGCAGGCAGGGAAAGGGCATTTCCCCGGCTTCCCCGGGCCCCTAATTACCCCTCATTAGCAGGGGGCTAATTAATGTTTTCCCAGCCTGTTGCCGTCTGTCTAAGAAAACTTCGCCCCCGCACGGAGTGCAGCGGAAGGAGGGATTTGGGAATCGCGGGGATGGGGAAAAATGAAACCCAAAGGAGCCCAAGAGCAGGGCACGGAATGCACCCACTGCCTGTAGATATCGATGGCCTAGATACATATTTATAGAGAGAATTGAGGGATATATTAATATGCATTATATAAGGATGCATATTTATATATTATATATATAATTACATTTTTATATATCATTTATATATTTAAGTTATATATATAATTTACATTTTATGTTATATATTTATATATAGTATTCTGTATAATTATATATGAATACCTTATCTAATGTAATATATATCATATATAATATAAGGATAGATTAATATATTTTATATATAACACAGGAATATATTAGTAGATTTATATATAATATAGGATTATATGAATATATTCCTATATATGAATATTCATTTATATTAATAGGCCATAGATATATAAGACCTAGATATATATTTGTATATAATATAAAGATATGCTAATATATTTTTATATAACATAGGGATATATTAATATCATTATATATAATATAATGATATAGTTATATATTTTATATATATTATATAGGGATAAAGTAATAAATTTTTATATATAACATAGGGATATATAAATATATAACATAATTACAACGAGTAACATATAATAATACATAACATAGTTCTAATAATATATAACATAGTTCTAATGATACATAATTGAGGTATTAGGTAGATATATTTGCATTAATGTAGATTAATATATAATTTATATTAATTAGATCTATTTTGTATATATAATATATATAAACATACATTCATTTGCACATATATAAAGTGAACATAAATTCAATCTTGATATATATAATAGAGTTGGACTATTTCCAGCCTCTTTCCCATGAAAATTGGATGTTTCTGCTCGCCGCCCCCCGCCGCTGTTGAGGGCAGGGTGGGGTGAATTTTGGGAGGGGTGCGATGGCCGCCGCCGTCTCCTCCTCGCTGTGCCTGCAGGGCCTCGGGCCGGCGGATGTCCAAGGCTGTCCGGGATTTCCTGTTCGCGCAGAAGGTGCAGGCGCCGGTGGAGGTTTACTCGGAGTGGCTGAGCGTGGGCCACGTGGATGAATTCCTCACCTTCGTGCCGGCCTTTGATAGGAAGGTACCGACCCCTGGGGCTTCCCTGAACCAGCCCTTGGTGGGGCTGCTCAGCCTCCACGGGCTGATGGGGGTGCAGTTCTCTTGGGGTGGCTGCCTGGAAGGGGAGAAGTCCGTGGGTGGCATCCCGTGGTGCCCGGGGCTGGATTTGGGAGTGAATCCACAGGAGGGGGGGATAGAAGCGGGTGACCCCCAGGCTCTCTCCCGCAGGGATTCCGGCTCCTCCTGGCCAGTCCCAACGCCTGCTACAAGCTCTTCAAGGAGAAACAGAGTCAGGGCCACGGGGAAGCCACACAGTTCATTGGTGAGGGAGGGAGGACATCCCTGGTGTCCCTTCCCAGTGTCCATTCCCAGTGTCCCTTCCCCATGTCCCTCACTGCTCCCACCCCCCTCAGGGCTGAAGGACAGCGAGAGGAGGAGCATCGACGAGATCTTGGCGGATGAGTCGCTCAAGAGCGACAACAGGCACGTGCAGGTGGGTCTGTGAGCCCTGGCCGGGGGGGGGGATCCGCTCTCCTCCCTTCCACCGCACTGCCGGCTCATTCCTGGGGCCAGAGATCCTGGGGAATGGCGGGAGTGGGCGAGGAGAGCAGCCAGGAAGGAGCCAGGCAGTGCTGGTCGCCCCATCACCCTGGAAGATGCCCCTGGTGACACAGAGGGACTGTCAGGACGGAGAGGTTGCTCGGGTTGGGGATGCAGTGGCGGTTGCTCAGAGGGATGGGTGGGATGCAATGGAACGGGTGAGGATGTAATGGGACCCCCCACGTGTCGGATTTGAGGGGCTGGGATGGCCCAGGGTGGCAATTCCAGGTCCCTTTCCCCCCCACCAGCACTGCATCGACTGGAACCGCAACCTGCTGAAGCAGGAGCTGGGCCTGAGCGAGCAGGACATCATCGACATCCCGCAGCTCTTCATCCTCAGGGGCTCCCGCGCCGAGGCCCTTTTCCCGGACATGGTGAGGCCTCTGACCCCTCCTTCCCCACACACCCCGCCCCTGCCCCGCCCCGGGGGGATTTGGGGTGGGGTCTGACGGTGTTTGGCCCTGCAGGTGAACATGCTGGTGCTGGGCAGGCACCTGGGCATCCCCAAGCCCTTCGGGCCCGTGGTGGGCGGGCAGTGCTGTCTGGAGCAGCGGGTGCGGGAGCTGCTCGAGCCCCTGGGCCTCACCTGCACCTTCATCGACGACTATTTCTCCTACCACGTCCTGTCCGGGGACGTTCACTGCGGCACCAACGTCCGCAGGAAGCCCTTCTCCTTCAAGTGGTGGCACGTGGTGCCTTGAGGGGACACACCCACGTCCTGCCACCGGGGGATGAAGGTGCATTTGGTGCATCAGAAGGTGCACCAAAATAAAGGGGTTTGCCAATAAAGCTTCTTGAACACAGAGGGTGCAGCTCTGCCTTGTCTCCCATCCTTCCTGAACACTGAGGGTGCAGCTCTCCCCCATCTCCCATCCCTCCTTCCTCTGCTCTTGGCTTGGAAACGTCCTTTGAACCCTATTTTTAAGCCCAGCACGTGGGTCTGTTTTGGGATTGGGGTGGGGGGTTTGAGGGACACAACCAGGAGGCTGCTCTGGGGTGTTCAGACCTCCCCCCACTGCTAAAGGGTCTTACAGTCCCACACTGCAGGTTTGGAGCTGATAACCCCCTCCCAAATTCCCTGTATTGGCCCAAAGCCACTTCGTGCTGGGCACCCCGGCTGAGCCCCCCCTCCTCATCCAGATCATCTGACACCTTTTCCAAGGAGAAAATTTCCGTCTCCTTCGCCCGGACTGCTCTTTGTCTCCCTCTTTTCACCGCCAGCGGAGCGCGGCATTTCCCCGTGCCTGGCACCAGGAACCGAAACCTGCCCGTGCCCTGGGCACGGCTCAGCTTTGTGTAACCTCGGGAGCTATTCTGGGGCTAAAACCACTTATTTTGGCCAATTTTCTTTCCTGGGAATATTTCAGAGGTGTGACAGCACCTCCACTTCAACCTCCTGCCACTCAGTGAGCGTCGCTGGAGGGGGATGCTCCCCAAAGGGTCACCCATCCCATGGAACACCCCTCTTTTTGCCCAAAAAGCTGGTTTCTGAGCCCATTATCCCCGCGAGACGCTGCTGAGCGTTTGCCGAGCCCTGAGGGGGGATATTAAGTTCCAGCGGCGCGTGACCCCGCGGGGAGGTGGCGGTGGAACAGCTGCGGAAAGGGCTCTCCCACGCCGAGACGAGGATTTAATTAAAACAAAGGCGATTAAACCCGCCGAGGGTCAGGCGTCCCTCAGGTGACATCCCCACCCCTCGCAGCACCCGGAGGACAGGGCGAGCACCTGCAGCCCTCGCCTAAAATAAGAATGAAAGGCAATTGTTCGGGCTGAACAAATAAAACCCTTCAGAAGGAGAAATCAGCCCCCGCCGAGCGCTGCGCTGGCACAGCCCCAGCTCGGCTCTGATGTCGCCCTGAATATTTCAGTGCGTGGGTTTAAGGGTGACCGCTCACATCAGCGTCTCCCTGTGCTAACGGGGGGTCCAACCCCACCCCTGGGCTCCTTAACAAGCGCTTCTGGCCCCGGGGGTGTCTCGGGGTCCCCCCGCTCCGAGCCGCGCTCCATCCCCGGCGGCGCGGCCGGACCCGCGCACGCCCAGCGCGGCCCGCAGCCCGGAGGTGGGATTAACCCGGCCTTTGGCTGATCCCCTCCCAGCCGCCAGGCTTTATAAATCCCCTCGTGCCAGCCCGCGCAGCACCCGAGGGTGCCCCTGGGACCGCCGCGATGGCCCAGCAGCGCCGTGTCCAGCTGTCCGTCCAGCGCCCCACCAGCACCGTGTGCGTGCTGGGCACGGAGCTCTCCCTGGATGTCGCAGGGTAAGCGCAGGGCACGCTCCGGCTGCTTTTCTAACCTCTCTTATCGCTCTAATCGACGGGTAAAAATAGCTCAGAGCGGGGAGGGGGAGACGCTGCTGCTCTTGGGGGGTGTTGCCAGGGGATACCGAGACGGGGATGCTCCAAATATCACAGCGGGACAGGGACCCCTCCCGAGGGAATTTTGGGGTGCAAAAAGCCCCGATGGGAGCTTTAAAGCCGAGTTTCACATCCCGGCCGGGATCCACCTGAAAAATGATGAGTATTTCCGTGTTTGGGAGGAATGCGGAGAACGAAACCATCCCGGCGGGGCCGGCAGGGAGACACCTCCCGCCGCCCTTTTCTTGGCTCCAGCCCCAAATATTCGGGAGCTTTTCCAGCAGCAGGTTTTGCTTTTTGTTCCCTTAAATACCCGGCTCAAGCCTCAGCAGTTTGGGGGGTTTATTTTCCCGGATGCCTCCAAACCCGCTGCCGGAGCATCCCGCCCGCCCCGGGGTGGGTTTTGCCCTCTTCCCTAGGGATGGATCCATATTTCCCTTCCCCCGGGAAGGGATTTGCACTCCTGGGCCCATCGCCCGCGGCCTCTTGCGGAGTGAAACGAGCTCCGACCTGCCCAACCATTGAAGTTTTGCTTCGCTCTTGAGGGATGTCACCGGTCAGGGCTCGTTGCCGGTGGAAATGCAAATATTTGGGATGCCCGTGGCAAAAATCCACCCCGAACAGCTCCGGGGTTGTGCCGGGACGGGATATCTCAGGATTTATCACAGCTGGGCTTCACAGCCCAACGCTTTGGGTAAAGCAGTGAAATGAAGGGAAAGCACAAATCAAAAACCGAAATGAAAATTTGTCCGATGAAAAGTTGTAAATAAACCCCCGGAAATTAAAACAAACAAACAAACAAACAAAACCCCCACAAATGTTAAAATTTCGAAATACGAACCGAAATAAATTTGAAAGTAAACATTAAAAACAACAACAACAAAAAAAGATAAAATGGAAAAAATTGTCATGATTGCTTTTTTTTTTTTTTTTTTTTCATTTTGCATTTTGCAAAATTTCTTGTCACGAATATTCCAAGATTTGGGGTGTTTTGGGGGGATTATTGAGTTGAATTTTATGGGATTTGCTGCCGTTTCCCATTAGGGGACTGGCTGCATTTGCAGCACTTCCTGCACTGGGATATCCCTGGATTTTGTGCCTGCTGGGGGTTTGCTGCCGCCAAGATCCCGGGGTTTGTTCCCGTTGCCTTTTCCAGGGCTCGTTGCCTCCGGCAGGATTTTCCCCGATCCCTAATCGCCTTTGGCGGGATTTGGTGCAATTGCCTTTTGCAGGATTGGCTGTAATCCCGTTTTGTGGGATTTGGTGCCACTGCAGGTTCCAGGATTCGTTGCATTTTGTGTGACTTGTTGCAGGATTTGTTCCGTTTATTGGAGG